AAAAAAATCACCCGTTATGTAGATACACATAGAATGTCTGCACCAGTTAGTGGGGCGCTCTGCAGCAATATGCTTCTTCTTCTACTGCATGCCATGTCGTAAATCAACCCACCTGATTTACCTATTCCTTTTGATATTACTTATTGCCATATTTAGTACCGCCATCACACTGTCTACCACAGCTAGCTGTCCGCCTAATACCGTCCAGTTTACTCAGTTCTCAGTACTCTCTCTCCTCTAATGTACACCGCCTCCTAAGTACCATCTCTTTCAAATTCAGTGTCGTTCAAACCCACTTCACTTATAACTACATGCATAGTACCTTACGCTATTTGAATTTGGTGCACGAACTCTGTTGAAATTGCATTATAATATACCAGTTAAATTGAATGCAGCAGCAGGACTCAGTCCGGTTGTTATTTGATCATTTGTAATTGTAATGTGGTACTCGGGTGTGTGTAGATATGCCATGTGCCTTTGCGTTCGTTGTGGATTATTTGCAAAATGTATGCGAATGCAGCTATTACTTATGTATGTATGTTGTATGTATGTATATATAGTTATAGGAAGGTTTGTACGTGAAACATGGTTAGTATACTGGCATATATACTTATATATACATATTTAGTTACTCACTGTATTTACTCAGCATTATTTAATTAGGTAAAACTCTACGTTCATTTGCTCTCATTACATTTGAAATTAAATATCATTGCTTGTGTGATGATTAAGTTGTAACTAAATATTTTAAATTCGAAAAGAAGACAAGCACTATTTACTTAAAAAATTTTAAAATAGGTAAACGAGTGTTTGCGCTGCCGAGAATTCCATTTGTACTTTGCTTTGAATATTTTGCATTAATTGAATCATGTTTTATACTACATATATATTTATATGCATTTGTACATATATTTACGTATTTGCGTGAGATACAAATTGACTTAATTAACTGACTAACTATTTGCACAGTTTGTATGCAAATATAAAACGAAGTTGCTGCCGCTTTGATAAGTGACTTTGATAAGTTGGTCTTCAAGGATCACTGAGAGGCTAAATGTATTTAATGCCGACAAAGCTTACCCCAGCGCTGCATTCCGTCGCTCAGTTGGACTCCAGTTCGATGCGAGGCAGCATCGAGATGATACAAAAATAAATATATTTCTACTTTTGTATGTACATTCGTTCCTACGTAGGTCATGGAAAATCTCCTCGTTTATCTCATTAAAAAAAAACATAAGCTGTTCAGCTGAATTTTCGTTATAGTTCCTATTTAATTGAAGAATGAAAAGATATCCTTAGGAATGCGGGCTATATGTGTGGTTTAAGCTAAGGTCTCACGAAAATTCTTTGGAAATGTCTGATCAATATCTAAATTTTGGTCGCTCAAGACAGATGACAGAACAAAGGCCCTGTGAAGATTGTATTCCGTCTGGTGTGAAGTTTGGCAGACAAATATTGATACATTCAAAAAGGTTTTTGCAAGGAACTTTTTTTCTAGACAACTAGACTGCAGCTTGTCCAGGATAGACCGAAGAGGGGCGAATACGCTCATACCGTGGGAACAAAGCCTAGACTCCGCTAAGGTATACTGCAGACGGCACGCGCTGCTTTCAAGGAGATTATTTATCTTTAGTCAAGTCGCAAAAGTGACAGAGATGTATCCAATTTTAAAAAGTTTTCTATATTTGTCCATTTGTGCGCGTCACTGCTGGTAGCCGCGATGCGGTAATTGTCCAAAGCTTTTAATTAATTTAAAATAATTGCTGTTAATCGGGGAGATACGAGTTTTCCTCCTTAAATTGGGAGACAAGAAATTTTCTTATTTTGATTAAAATATTTTTCTGAACAGCACCCTTTTTTATACTGTGGGAAATTTATTATTAGTACTCAAGGTATTATGCCAGCCTTTATATTGGCTGGCTATGACTAAAACTGCAGTGTGTTAAGGAAACTACGTTAATTAAACTGAATCAGGTCAGCGTCTGCGTATTTCTGCATTACATGGCTCATGGTTTCAATAAAGGCAAATAGTTTTCATTCAACTTCCGCAAAAAAAAAAATCAATACCATTGCATTAATCAAGCACATTTATTGCCCAAGGGGCGCACAGCTTTTACAGTACTACGTTTTTTGAAAAATCAGTTGGAGGAAAGTAAAGTTTAAAAAAAAAAAGTTTTAATACATCAAAACGTCAATCCAACCTCCAAATCCGATGGTCGTTTACCACTAAGCGCTCCTCAATTGCATTCACTCCAGCCTTTGAAACCAAATTAATTTGCGGCTATAAAGGTAAATTTCCCAAAACCACACAAATTGGCTTCCCTAATGCATATTGAAATTTTTCATGCTGTTTCCTCAAACCTCAATGCAACTAACTGCGAGCACTCAGCCGCAAGGCGTTTCATTGTAACAATCGCTTTATCTGCTGCAAGCTTATGTAAGTACATACACATGCACGTACATGCATACATATGTATGTAGTAAGTAACCCCCTCCGTGTTGGAGCAAATTAATTTCGAAAATAACAAAGGCGGTTAGTAATTTCGGGCACAAAGTAGCACAAGCGCAATTTAGTTGACAAGCGTTGAGGGAGCGAGCGAGCTGTGTGCAAATGATGATGCAGGAATTTAAACACTCATTGTTTTGAGCTTTGACCTGTAAACATATGTACATAGAAAATATGTGTAAATGTTTGCGCTGATCTGTGTGTGAATGCCGATAAGTAGTGATGTGTCAGTTTATTGTTTTTTTCTTCCTCCAGCGGGTTACAAAAAAAAAAAACAACAGTTGCTTAGGTACTCACCAACATTGCCTTCGCCACGCGCCGTTGTGCTTGCCGACAACAACACCAGCAATTGCAACAACAGCGTTACGATGGTCGAGGGTCGTTGCAACAATTTAAGCGTTGCATGCAACGTGCAGCGCCAGCTCGAGATTAGCTCTCGCTGGCCCCTGTGCCTCCGCGTTCGCTGTTGCGTCAATTGTTGGCATTCTGCCGAACTGCGCTGCTGCTTGATTGCCTGCAATTGTTGTTGTTGTTGTTGTTGGAGATGCTGCTGCTGACTTCGATAAGGTTGCTGTTGCTGATGACGTTGTTGCAAAGATGATTGTTGCTGTTGCTTTTGCAGTTGCCTAATACATTGCTGCTCTAATGAGTTGTTCTGTTCGTTTTGCCGCTGATGTTGTTGTGGTTGTTGTTGTGGTTGTACATTGCATGCCATGATAATGGGCCCACCTAAAAGGAAAACAAAAGAGAGATATATTTTAAAGGAGTTGTGCAAGCGATAAGAGAAAAAGTGTATTAGATTAGTTGAAGTAGAGTGGAATGTAACGAATCACGTGCGAGCGCCTATAAGTAGGCTATACAAATTTCCAGTTAAGGTAAGTTTAAAACTTAAAAATTCCATGAAATTGTGCGCTTAACTTTTGTTTTGTTAGAGAGCCTCGTTAGCCCTCAATGTAGGCTTTCCACCACCTAGAATCAATGCCAAGTACTTGACTCTATCACAAAGCTCCAGGTGTACACTTTCCTCCAATTAAAGGGAAGAATCGCGTGCAATGTTTTATTGTTCGTTGTGAACAAGTCGAGTTCCGTCCTATTGGGATTTGCAACGGAGCCGCCGGCGATCTAGTCAGTACGTTCAAAAACGGATTGGACCAAATTATTAGGGCATCCACTAAGATTATAATCCCCGCTAACGCAAACTTTCGAGCTCATAAAGTAGGTCTTTCACTACGACATTTCAAAGTAAGAGGTCAAAGAACACCACCCGGTAAAGTACACTGTCTCTATCTGGCACGACAGTTCTGTCACAGAGCACGGGATCTTAACAGTTTAAGCCAGTTTCGACCCATAGATTTTCAAGGGATCTGAAGATTGTCTTTGGAAGAATATTGTTAGATGCCAATCAATGTCGAGAAATGCTCCCACAGTAAAGTCCTTACGTATCATGGCTTCCTTCCTTTATGTCTCATAAGTATGCCAAAGGTACAGAACTCCGTATAAGCACTTCAGCCTTCTTGATTTTGGACAAGCGGATACCTAGCCCTGGTTGGGGTAGCTCGGTTCTTCGAGGTCTATCAATGTTTAACCTTCGAAGGTCAGAGAGCGCAGAGATTTACAAACCAATTGGCTTTTGAGTAGATAGTGAGAGTGGGTAACCATAAGTAACTAAAATACGATTCAGTGATTAAGTGGTCGTAACCCTGGAATTAGAGAGGTCCCTACTAAGAAAATCTCAACTGAGCCGCTGGTAGTAGTCTTAAAAGATTCGTGGAAATTAGGAGACACATCGTTGTTAGAGGTATTTTCAAAACAGAAGCGAACAAAGAAATTATTGTGATTCAAGAGTCAGCGAGAAGCTTGCTTGAATTTTTTGGACGATTTTAATTCATGTGGGGGCGTCTGAAGCCCACAAATTCTTTCGAAGTGTGATACGCCATTGGATGCGTGGCGTGCAATTTCGCATCTGCACCGTCCACCCTTTGTTCGTTTTACATCAACCACATAAAAAATATACATTTCGCATAACCAGCCAACAACTTTATTGGCAGTTGTCGGCATTTTTTTTTTTTCTACACCGTTGACGCCGATAAATTCGCATTTAACACATTGTTGCTGTTGGCGTTTAGTAGCCTGCTTTTTGCCTTAACAATGTAGTTATGCATTCACGTTGCTGGATGTGTGTGCGTGCGTGCGCTTGTGGGAGCCCATTTGGGCGTACGTTTGGCATATTACGCCGCCTTCCGCTCAACACTAACGTTTATTTATGTTTGCATAGTTGTTGCTCTATCGGCGTTTAAGTATACATCACGGATGTTGCGGATGAGGAAATTTTAGACATCCGCGGATGCGAATGCGAATGCGGATGCCAAGTATTTTTAAAAAACAATTAGAATCTAGCATATTGGCGAGATCGTTGTTTAAACAGCGCTTACAAGCCAAACCAGATACATATGTCATGTTGTTTCAGAATTTGGAGAACCTGTAACTTTAGAGCACTTTTCGATTTTAGTTTTTGTAATTCATTTTTAATACTTTCTTCCGCGACTGCTTTGAAAATGTGTGCTTATAGCGAGCTAAATAGATGGATATGGAAAATAGATTATTATTTTTGAACAAAATTCTGTTTTCAAAGTCGTGGCTGCCAGCCGAATCGGATCAGAATATTGTTATTTTTTTTTTCAAAGCACCCCGTTTTCTTATAAGCATTTGAATAGTTTCGTAATTCTTATCTAATTAAATGTCAGACCTATGGCTTTTTAATTAATTGAGCATCGATTCTTTTTGTAGCTAGACGTTGATCATTTCTACTGGAAATGCCTATTGAAGGAGCTAAAAGCTCAAAAGCTAACTCGGACTTAATCCTGATCAACTGCAGTTAATTCCCGAGTTGGTCCAGATCAACGCTGTCGTCTGTTTATGCTTTTACTCTTTAACTTTAAATAGCAAAAAAGAGACTGTTTTACCACAGAAGTTTTTAGCCAAGGATCCAATGTATATCCCTAAGAAAAATATTATCCAACTGTTTTTAAAATTTTGCTAAAAATAAATTCCCCAAAGAGCCCCATTTGAAATTATTCAAACGAATAAATGTAATAGGTGGCATACACGGTACGTCTGACTCGCGAATCATTTGTGTACGTGTGGACTCAATCGCCTTCGACTACACACAGTTGAATCATTCAGAGTCATGCCGGGAGTCATGTTGGTGTAACTAACACATATTTATTTTGACAAACACATCCAAACCGACTCACGAGTCAGACGCACCGTGTATGCCGCCTATAACGTCAAAAGCAAATCACGAAAATTTTGTTAAGAATTACAGTGTACACTTTCTTCTTTTGTGTGGTTTTTTTTTAAGATTGGTCCAAAAAAATCCTAATAAAGAAAGAACCCAAAGCAGATATTTAAAGCACAGAAAAATATATTATTAAAAGGACAATGTTCTCTTTGACATACGTCAAAGGTTAAGTAGAAGTGGGAACTTTTATGGCTGCCCATTGATAGCTCGGTTATATAGCTTAAGAAATATTTTAAAGACATTTTTATCAAAGTTGATAAATATGACATTTGACCAGTTTTGTTACACAAATACTCCTACGACCACAGGCAAAAATATTGGCTACAATATGTATTTTTTTTGCTATATATACGTTTTATCGGTCCACTTGCAAAATATTCGCATTCGCAAAAGCTCCGCATTGATTATTGCGAATGCGAAAGCGAATGCGAATGTTAAAATTAATGCGGAAGCTCCGCAGTTGCGAACGCGAATGCGAATATTCGCAACAACCCTGGTATACTTATACGTTTGTGTGCGATTTAGTGTACTTCTGCCTACGCTTCACTGCTAACCGGAAATATATTGGCGGATGTTGTGATGTGCAACGCGTCGTTGCGTCGGCAATTTCGACCAAAGCGATTGCCAACAAAAGCAAAAGCGAACCGATACTACGCCCACACCTAGGCTCATGGTCATATATGTATGTAAGTAGTTGATTGAGAGACTAGCTTTGCATGAGTATGCATGTGTTTATGCATACAGACAGCCATAACGATTTCTGGGAAAACTGTTTTGCTACATCTTCCATGTATGTATGTATGTAGTGTGTATGCATGTATTGCTCAATTTTGAGTTTGGCCCAAACGGATATGTAAATATCTATGTAGAAAAAGGTTACTAACAGCTCGTAAAATAGGTAAATTTATTGTGTTTTTTCCTCTTTAATTTAATTTTATTGCGCGTGGCAAAGTTTATTGAAATGAAATTGCATAACCTTTTTTTAACAATTTGACATCAAGAGCTTTAGGCCAACAAATTGGTAGAACCGAAAAGGGCATTAAATGGCTCAGCACTTAAGAAATGAAGTTTTATCAATCATATATTAAGGACAAATAACTTCATTCGTTCGTTTGATGACCTTAACCCTTTACGATGTCACTACACACTGCAAACCAAACAGTAAACTATAAAATTCTAAAGAAAAAAAATGAAACAGATGGAAGGAGCTATAAATTGACGTCACTTGCGAAAGGCAAATGGTTTTATGAGCTGGTTCGCCATCGCTCAGTAATCAAACCGCGCAGAGTACCAGTATTAGAGAGATTCCTAAGAAACGCTTTTACCAGGAAAGTGGAAAGCTTTCTATACGCCAAAAAAAATATGAATACGCTTATTAAACCTTCTGGCATCTACATACATATTTATTTAAGATGCGATATATTTTTTTAATTTTCGTTGTTGGTTTCTCCGAACGACAAATGACACTGAAGATGGCACAACACCGAAACCGGTTTGTCTCCAAACCAAGTTTGATAAGGGATGACGGAAAAGCATTCCACAATACATCAATATATTATTATTCAATTCTTCTTCTTCGTACCGTTTTTCGGATTCGCCGAGACTAAAAAGCTTCTCCAATTGCCTCTCTCCTGTGCGAATTTAAATCTGGCGTAGAATAATTTTCTCCAAAGCATTCAAAGCCCTCTCATTTTTGTTCGGTATCGTTCGCGTTTTTGCGCCATAAAAAATAACGGACATGATGAGGGACTCGTAGAGCGTGTTTGTCGACAGCGGGCTCTACTTTTCAATTTGCTTACCGAGCCCAAAGTTGCATCTGTAGGCAAAATTTCCAAGACGTTAGCCAGGCTAAGTCCACCGAATCAAGGCTTATTAAACTAACTAACTATAATGTCAAAAAACTGTAAACAAAGAAATTAACCCTTTGAGATGCGACCTGAAGTACCTGCAAGTTCCCGCTGAGCGTAGCTCTCAAATTCATTAGACCGTTCGTTGCTTTAAATCCACACATGAGTTTCAAGAAATTCCAACCGTTTAAAAAACCCCTTTTTAGAACTTTTTTTACAACTTAAATAACATCAAACATCTTCATCACTGCAGGCTCTTGTTCTTTGGTTTAATGTGATTTACAAAAAAAAAAAAAAAAAAAAGAAAATGCTATACCTTTTGATTTATCATAAAGGACCATTACTTCCAGGTCAGTAGCCAATGTGCGATGCACTCAACAATGCTCAACCAATAAAAGACAAACAATCACATGCGCATAAGCAATAATATTTAAAATTTATTATTCAACCATTGATGACATATTTTTCCATAATAGCCAGGAGCGTTCATAGCAAACAACAACAAAACAAGTTGTTGCATGTTTTACACAAAACCAATTCATTGCTGGTTCTGCAATTGGACGACATTGTTGCCTAAAGAG